TAATGGCACAGGTATCCCTAACATGCTCGTGTTAAAATCACCAATTTGATAAAAAACAAAGTCACATATCATCATCTCAAAAGACTGGAAATCGCACACAATATTTTCGGAGATAAAAAAGAACATTCCAATGATATTGCTGTAGATGACAGTCAAAGCAAATAAAATACTTGATTGACTCCACGTAATAAAAATAAACTACAATATCTAGGTCATAATACAAAGCAAGGCACATGCATAAATTAACTAAAGCACATGTCTTCCCTGAAGGGTTTTTTTAAAAAATGTAGATGACAGTCAAAGCAAATAAAATACTTGATTGACTCCACGTAATAAAAATAAACTACAATATCTAGGTCATAATACAAAGCAAGGCACATGCATAAATTAACTAAAGCACATGTCTTCCCTGAAGGGTTTTTTTAAAAAAAAAAAAAAATTCTGCATACAAATATACCACGGCTATAGCATCACGCCCAACCCACCACCCACTTGGAATCTCGCTGCAGATCAGACACCACTCAATTTCTAGTATCCATATGTCGTCCTCCTCATTATCCTCATGAAATCGTCGACACCCACTTCTCCATCACCTGCGTGCGTTACACAAGCCATTATATGCATAGGAAGCAGAGTATCGGTGAGTGAATAAAGCTCGTGCATCACGTTTTATAAAATTATCATGGGTAAAGAATTGTTTGCCGGCTTGATATCCTACTCAACACTGCTTTTTGATGCAACAAATTAGCATTGACGTCCCGAAGGGGTCAAGTTCACAAAAAGCTAAAAGCCTGGTTGTAAATAAACCACTCATCACATGACGAGGGAATTCTCATTAGCTTGTTACACAACATTTTGCCTTCTAACTGTTAATTTTGTGAAGATTAATGCACAATTTGAAAACTAGGCATGCCCCTGGTAATACAAGCAGGCTTCCACTCTATTTGACAAGCAGGTTCAAGATTTAACTTCCAAAGCCAAGATGAAATAATAACATGCTAACTTACGATCTTGATCAGCTTCTTCAACCATCTCTTGAATCTCTCTTTCAGTGAAGCTTTCGCCAAGTTCCTTGGCTATTTGCTTGATGTCACCTACAGAAATTTTTCCCTGAAGCAAAATGAATTAGATGATAAGTCTTCAGCAAATACAAGCAAAATCGACAATGAATCAATGAAAGCTCACATTTTTATCATGGTCAATAATGCGGAATGCTTTTGAAAGCTCTTCCTTTGTGTCCCTTTCTCCAATCTTGGCGGTCATCATATGCACAAATTCATCAAAATCAATTGCACCACTGCCATCTTTGTCAACATCTGCAATCATTTGGTTGATTTGCTGGAATGGCATAATCAAGAAATATGTTAACCATGCAGTCAGGGTTCACAAAAAGGATGAAGCTTAAAGTTCAGGATGATGCATGTCAAGTAAGAAACTGCTCAAGCAATGTATTGCGAAGATATTTGCTTGGTTAAAGCTTAACACACGCTCTCATTGTTTTTTTTTTTTTTTTAATTCCCAATAGTCTTCAAACATATCACCGTTTGGGAACGCAGTGCAAACAACATTCTAAAAAATTTCAATTTTTGTTTTTTTGCTAAAAATTATTTTGATGCACCGATCTCTTTTTTTGCTAAAAATTATTTTGATGCACCTATCTCAAAAATAATTTTTTTAAAATGAAAAAAACATCATTTTGATGCAACTCAGCACAAAAAGCACTTTGAAAAGCAACCACAACCACTCCCAAACAGGCATGATTCATCCCCTTGTTCAAACAGCCAATTCTTCATATAAATATGCCAATAGGATTCTATGTGCTACAAATGCTTATCCTTTTTCAATTATGAGACCAAAAAGTGAAAGTAACCAAAGACTGAGATGTAGATTAATAATGATCACTGATAAGAGGAAAAGGTTCCTTGAAGAAAAGAAAAAGATAAGAACCTCCAAAATAGAGGAAGTTTCCTTCTTATTCCTTGTGTTTTTTCAGTGAATACCATTTCAAACACT